GTATAATGCCCTAAACTGTCTGTGACTTTCAAGAAAATTTATTTCTACATATGATCTTGCATACATATAAATATTAGAATGGGAGTGGTGTAATTTTTACTCTATCTGCGGAAACCTGGCATGAGACATTTTTGTGGAATGACTCTGGAACCCACAAGCAAAAGTTTACTCCATTCTTATGTTATTGTTATGGGTCCCCTCCCTTGGTTATATATTGCTCAAAGGGCGTTTTGTATTATTTCTATTTGGAATACAGTATATAAAATTCACATGCCTTTCTTTGTTGTTGTATTAGGTTTTGCTGGAACTAAATGACAGGAAGCTGGTTAGACTCTATGCCTTTTTCATCTGTTTTAGCAGTCTGTGTTGGAAATGAAGTGTGAGAAAAATGTTCAGTCTTAACAGTGTACCGATTTGGGATGGATAGGTTTCAGCTTTCTTTAAACAATCACATGGCAAAAGTATTTCTGGCATCTTTTACAAAACTTGCTTCTAACCCCCAATATTTAACTTACTTTTGTCTGCTGATTGTTCCATACTTGCAGTTGTCTGAAAATGAAAATGCCAAGGTAAATTCTGAAAGCTTAGAAAAGGAACAGAATGGAATGCAGTATGAAACAAGTGTTTTGGGGAAAATTCCAGGAGGGCACTGCACCAGGGATCCTTTCACACCACACACTTATAACTCTTTAATTCCATTTTCTACTCTGTATTTCTACTTTGAGAGCCAACGTGGTGTACCGGTTTGAATGTTGGACCACTACTCAGGGATCAGGGTTCAAATACCTGCTGCACCATGTATAAGCTATTGAGTCCATAAACTCTTTTCAGGCATTATTTATTGAAACTTGAACATTACGCCATAACCCTTTTCTCCTGTAACTGATTGCTGTGTGCTCATTGTAATTCTACTACCTATTATGCATCTTTTATAAAGGGGACATTCCAGCCGGTTGTAAACTAATGAGGAACCGTTCGGAGTGTAAGGACATAGATTGGATAACATACACGTGTGTGCTGGGATTTCAAGTATTTGGTGAGTAGTAGCTTTTTGTTTATTTAATTAGTTGCATTTATATCCTGCCTTTCATCCCATGAGCTCAAGGCATACGGGGTTTTCTACAACCTATTTTATCCTCACAGCAACATATCCCTTTCACCACTCTTGTGTCAATAGGGGGACACCTTTAACTCTTTTATTTTCCCATATTGCAGGAGTGTGGCCTGAAGGATCAGATGGAACAGATATAAATGCTCTTATCAGGTCTCACAACAGGAAAGTGATAGCAGTTGCTGATGACTTTTGTAAAGTCCATCTATTTCAGTATCCCTGCTCCAAAGCAAAGGTAGGTCTAGGTGATCCAGTTTCAAGGAGGATGGTAGAAAGGGGTCCAGGAGGAGGAGGAGCATTGTAGCTGTGATGCTTGCTATCTGTTGTGTAGAAAATACAATATGATCACAGCTGGGAAACCTTAATAATAATAATAACTTTATTTTTATACCCCTGCCTCCATCTCCCCGAAGGGACTCGGGGCGGCTTACATGGGGCAAGGCCCAACAATACATTTAAAACATAACATATTAAAATGTAAAACAATAATATAAAACAAAGCAAAATAAGAACAACAACATCCTAACAAAATATAAAACAGTGATCAAACCAACAACTAATAGCAAAGTTGAATGTCTCGTCATGGGTGGGTGGACCGGTGCCACAACATTTCAGAGGATAGGGCTAGTGAGTAAAGTGCATAAGTCATATAGCAGCAGCAAGGATAAGAGTAATATAAAATAGGTCATTATAACTTTGGAAACAAAACAATAGTAAAGTGTAAACTGCGAGAACGGACATTTTGGGTCCTAGTTGGGGCCAGTTATCTAGGGAATTGTCTGGTAAAAAGCACAGCGGAACATCCATATCTTTAAATCTTTGCAGAAAATGGATAGGGAGGGTGCTAGCTTAAATTTATGCTGTGATTTTTTTTAAAAAGAACTTGGATTATTTCTGTATTTAAGAAAGGAGCTATAATAGTAGTGTTTGAAAGAGCTACTATTTTGGACAATTGTTAGAATCGTCTAAGCCAGTGGTTCTCAACCTGTGGATCCCCAGATGTTTTTGCCTTTAACTCCCAGAAATGCTAACAGCTGGTAAACTGACTGGGATTTCTGGGAACTGTAGGCCAAAACACCTGGAGTCCCACAGGTTGAGAACCACTGTTCTAAGCAAACTAACCACTTGTTTGATGAGGCCCACTGGGAGTTTTGGTCCACAAAATAATTCTTCAGCGTTCTGATAATGGGACCAACTGCACCCCATGAGATCTATGCAGTTATCCCACCAGTAAAACTTCTTTAGTAATTTGAACATTTGCACAAACCAACATTACCAGGAAATAGCACACCATGTGCCATGTCAATACAGCTTATATAAACTTAATGCACATAAAGATCTGTATGCTGCGACAACATACAGCCAGATTGAATTTTGCTGGAGGAGATGGAAAGAGTGAATGAGGAAAGCATTGTTCTTTTCTTGGGTATATTAGTTGAGTTGCTATGTTGTGTGTTCTAACAGATATGATGCTCCCAGTACAGATTTTAATTTCCTGGTTTTGTTTTAACAGGCCCCGAGTCATAAATACAGTGCCCATAGCAGCCATGTGACAAACGTCAGCTTCACTTATAACGACAGTCACTTGATTTCAACTGGAGGCAAAGATATGAGTATCATTCAGTGGAGACTTGTTGAGAAAGTAGCTTTGCCACAGAATGACATTGCAGTAGAAATGGGTACACCCAAAATCTCCATGGCTGCCAATGAAAGCTTAGTACACCCAAGCACCCCTGTTCCTCTTAGCCAGCCATTTGATGAAATAGCCACCATTGAAAGTGTAACTGATGGTTCACCAACATCTTTGGAAAATAATCTGGAGCAAACAGTGGAAGCCAATGAGGAGCAGAATGAAGAGCAAAGCGAGGGGAGCAGTCTGGATCCAGGTGAGCCAAACTGTGATGAGACATCCAATGAAACTGGCGAAGAGCAGAGTGAATCCACTATTATGGATGACCAGTCAGAAAACTCTCCAGTGTCTTAACAGCTCGGGACAGTCTTTATACTTTTTTCCCTCAATGTGCATACGTTGATAAAGGGGAATTGGGTTCAAGTAGGGGAAGGGAAGCAGCTCCGAATCAGGAGTCACTCCAGTTGCTGGGTTTCCACTGAAGGCTTTTAATCTGATCGTCTGTTTTCAATGCATTGAACAATTGTAGGGACCCACCTTGACAATTCCAGTCAAGAGCTGGTGAGGATAGTAAGTAAAATGTAATCCTAGATAAAATGTAAGTCTGAAAATGCTGTCAGAAAGAAGTGTGATACAAATGTCTGAGGAAAATGGGGAAGGCGGGATTAGCTCCAGCAGTATGTCGAGGAGAGGGCAATGCATGAGTAGAGAAACACCAAAAGAAGCACCAAGTAAAACCTGCTATGTAATGCATCTGAGGCAAAAACTCCTTTGGAGTTCTCCTTTCTGTTTTTATATTAAAAAGAGAAGGAGAAGAGAAGAGAAAACACCATCTCAATAAAGCCATATACATGCACCGTGCCTACTGCCTTCTCAACATCTATGCATATATTTTTTTGTAACACTACCGATTTCTACTTGCCGCTGCACACTCTGCCCTCAGGTGGTGCTAGTTCTAAGGCAACTCATATTTTGGAATGTGGCCTCGTTGTTCCCAAATGATGGGATTCTTAATAGACTGAACTTAAGACAGCAAGCTTTGCTTAGTTTTTGAATCAACGACCACCATCTTTTCAAGGAGCTACATGTCTGGACACATTGAGACTCAAGAATACCTACTGTGACCTTGACATGAACTGACTTGATTGCATGATGACAAAAGTTCTAATTTCTTGAGTTATAACTTGGCCTTCTGATACAACTTGTTTCCTCAGCGATGGGGCTAAATATTAGGGGAATACCATTATTAAATTGTTAAATCTGGTGCTTGGGGATTAAACTAAAAAAAAATATTTTAGGGATGACAATAAGATTTACAAAACGAAAAAATTCAAATAGGCTCTTTTTTACAGCCTCCTTTTTAATAGCTGTAATATAAATGTCTCATTTACTTGGATTATGTTGGATATATGAGGATTTTCTTTCATTTGTGTGTGTGTTGCATTGTGTATGTGTATGAGTATGCGTGCATGTGTGAATTTGTTTTTTTCCCCCTTGCCCCGTTTTATAAGCCGTGCAGCTCTGTGATGGCTGGATCTGGCCAGTTATGGGATATCATGGCATTTTATTTTTCATTTGGGGAAAAAATTAAAATATAAGAAAAAAAACCCTGTCAGCTACATTTTTCTAAAGAACCTTGATTTTCCGACATTTAAAACCATTTGCTCAAGAAAATTCCTACTTGTTTATGTTTTGAGTACATAAGGTTTTTTTAATTGTGCTGACATTTTAGCATTTAGTTAGAAGTTATGTTTAGGAAAGTTGGATGAGTTTGTTTAAGTCTTAAGTGTGCAAGCGTTTACGTGATTGTGCCATTCCAAAGTGCATCAGAACTGTCATTCCCTTCTAGTATCTTCTCAGGAGTAAATGCTTCAGATCAGGTATCTAATCTATTCATCATTGGTAACATTGAGAACTCAATTGGACTCCCAAAGGACAGACACAGTGAGTGAAAGAGAGCAAGAGAGAGAGGAAGAAATCATTGCCTCTTGTTTACATCCATTCTGGAAAACCTCAAAATAATTCTCTTCAAATAGAGAGAGACGTGGATTCCAAGCAACCCATCTGTTCTGTGTTTTTTCTTAAACTATACTGTTAAATAGTAACCGTATTTGAAAGCTCTAGAATGTGACTGCTCACTTTGCCAAATAATTGTCAGTGGGTGGCATTAATTATGACATCACATGGGATCTAACCAGGCATTCACTAGGATGGGGTGAGCAACCTGTGGGTAGCATGTGTCTCTTGGACCTCCGTTTGGTGGGCCCTGCAACCCCTCACCAGTGCCCTATTCTCCAGGGTTTTTAAAGTGAGGTTTTTGTACAGTCTTTCCCTCAAATAACAAGCATATGAAAATAATTCCACCCCACATGGAATTGAGGGGGTGTAATTTCCTATCAATATTATGAAATAGACTCCAGAAGGCAACAAATCCTTTGGGTTGAAGCTGGGGGAGCCTGCAGTGATGTCTGGGTGGATAGCTTGGTCCCTAAATCCCCCATAGTTGTCTATCCAGTACTAGAAGAAAAGGTTAAGGTATAACATTCAGTCATTCCCACACCTCAAATACCCTCTGCTTTGAAATCCCCCGTTTGTGCCTAGCCAGAAGATGTTCTTCATTCCTCTGACAGCTGTCTTCTGAAGTTAGAGAGACACTAGTTAGATGCCATCCTTTGAAAAGAGTACATTCAAGCTAAGATTCCAAGCTACAGTACTTCTAATTAAAACCAGTGGCACAGAGCTCTCTTACATTCTTGTTGAATACCATGAAACAATGCATTTCACTTGGATACATCTATTAACCTTGGAGTTGCCATGTAAAATGAAATTTAATTGTGGTTTTTCTCATGTTGTAGTTTAAGGAGTTTTTTTTAATCTAATATGCAAAAAGAAAAGTAAAAAAAAAAGCCTTACAGCTTTCCATTGCTGGCAACTACTGTTTGATGGACAATTATATCCATGATAATGGATGGGGTTGTGTTAACTGTAGACGTTCTGGGGGGAAAATTGTGAATTAAATATGATTTAAGAGTGTCATGTGAAGACATTTGAGCCATTTCTATCTATCATGCATTCCTGTCTCATGGCAGAAAAAAATTGAAGATTTAAAAATAACAATAAAAATAATCAAAACAATGCAGTTGTACTTTTCATCTTTGGAGATTGCGATTGATGAATATTTTAAAGCTTTGTGTTAATCTTCCTGGTATTAGTGTATTCAATCAAAGCAATATTTCAGCCGTGCATGAAGGGGACATAGATACCCTGATTCCTTGTTCACAAGAGAAATCAGCAGTGGAATATTGCTCTGAGCCCCCCCCCCCCAGGTGAGAAGGGCGGGGTATAAATATAGAATTAATTAATTAATTAATTAAAAGTCAGAGTTTGTTCATTCTTCCTCTGGAGATCCTGCTTTGTATACTTTGCAGATTTTTACTTATTGCAGGTGGTCCTGGAATGGAACACCCGCGATAAGTGAGGGAACACTGTATACACATTACAAAGCGAAACTGGTTAAGGGCCAGGTGCTCCAGTAATCCACACATGTGCATTTGCCGGGGAAGCAGTGGGAGGGAGAGTGATTGGGGAAAAACTCCAAATCAACCCAACCATGTATACTGTGGATCCTGGAACCTGGATTGCAGCTGAACTCTCCACTGCATATAAGCACTAACCAGGCTTCAACCTGGTTCCTGTGCTTTCCATGTGATCAGCTGCTTGTTTGCTTCATTTCCATCTCTGTTTTCATCTCACATCATATAGTCAGTGTAGATGTGTCCCTAGTCAATGTTCAGGGTCACCTCTACCTCCTTCAACCCAAAGCAAGTGAATAGTTATGTCTTCCTAAAGGGTATTTGAGGAGGAAATGGTAGAAATCTCTGCTGCTGCTCTTTTAGCTACTGAAGGCCTGGATTCTATTCAAAACTGGTGGATTTCAGAGTCCTGCTAGTGAACTAATGCAGACGCACACAAGGCTATCATAACCGGGTGACTTATGTTTGTATATCTTTTGAATGCTTCAGTACAGAAATGACAAATATGTCACACCACTCATGTGATGATCTATTGCTGTAGCAGCTTGCCAGGCTAAGCCATCACCATGTTGCTGTTGTCACAGGCCACAGAAAAAGGATTCCCTGTCCCAGTTTTAGGAGAACACACCATCGGTTATTATTAGCTATTCTGGACTGGGCCAAATGCCCACTTTCTCCAGCAGCCAGGCATTTGAGGAAATGTCGAAATTCTCTGGCAATTTTTTTGCAATCTGACATTTATGGTACGGAAAATGAAAGATCAATTATGTGCAGTAACGTATCAGTTAAAAAGATATGAAAGTGAAGGATGTTGGCCACAGAGGAGTTAACACTGGTTAAAAAATAACATTTAATTGCTTGAAGTTTGCTCACACACATTCCAAAAAAGACTGAAGAGCCTTGATTGTTTCAATCTTTTATTTGTGACAGATGTTTTACTTAGGCGTTAATCATGAAAGAATGGGGAAACTCTAGGCAGTAAGATTAGGCCATCCTAAAGAATAAATCATTTCTTCAATTAAAGAGCTTCTATGGATAAAAGGCCAAGTATTTGCATATTGAAAAGGGAGTTCCAGAGGGCCTCTAAAAGCAATTTCCTTTGAGGCACACCCTTTTGCCTCTCAATTTCAATATCTTCCTTCTGATGCAGTCTGTCAGTCATCATATACATGCAAAATATCAGCCAGATGTCTTCACAAACAAGTATCATGAAGGCACCAGCAATACCTGCTGTCAGTTAGTACAAAAAAAACCTCAACACAGGCTTGACCTAGTAATGTCAATACCAAAACTGTAAATCTGAAAATTGTCTGTTCTTCAAGATTATTGAGCTTCCCACCTCCCCAATATTACATTTCACATTCACCAGCTCTAGCTAATTCATGATGGGGAATGCTGGAAGTTGCTGTCTCACATAATCTGGCAGTCCACACTATTTTCATCCCTATATAGATGAACCTCAGATATGCAGATATACCACTTTGGTGGCCAAAAGTGAGAAGGAGCTGAGGAGCCTTCTAACAAAGGTAAAAGAAGACAGTGCAAAAGCTGGTTCAACATAAAAAAAAACAAGATTATGGCAACCAGACTGATTGATAACTGGCAAATAGAGGGAGAAAAGGTGGAGGCAGTAACAGACTTTGTATTTGTAGATTTATTTATTTACAACATTTATATGCCGCCCTTCTCATCCTGAAGGGGACTCAGAGCGGCTTACAAGATATATATATGTACAAGAATAATACATAGATGCAACGATTACTGCAGACGCAGACTGCAGCCAGGAAATCAGAAAATGTTTACTTCTTTTTTTWWWWAAAWATGTTTATTTAGAATATAGTGCTCTAAGGAGAGCTGATAGGAGAGAGGTGTATTAGTGCAATAAGACAATACAAACGAACATAYAAACAGACAAACAAAMAAACATACCACTGAATACAATAYGACTACATGTCAATAACAAYACTTACCAACACCAACAATTATTCCCCCAGTGAATTTTTAAAATACTTCCAGGTTTTGCTGGTCAGATACCAGGGAATAAACTATACTTTAATCCCCTTTTCTTTTTTGTTGCCTATATTGGTATTAGTGTAATYGCCAGTTTCCTTTTGCTATACCTTCAAGTTTCCTTAATGCATAGTATTGATATGTACCTCGTTATATAGCCCTTTTATGTATCCTAAAAAGCCCTCCCAGTTGGTCCTAGGGGGTTTTGTTATGCTCTGTGACATTTTTTGGGTGAGGATGTCCATATTCATGATGTCCCATATTTTCAGTAACCATTGCTCTACAGTCGGTGTCTCCTTGGATTTCCATATTCTAGCTATCACTATTCTCGCCGCAGTGGTGAAGTAAAAAAAAAGTTTTTCTGAGTTCTTGTCCTTGATGGAGTCGATTATTCCCAGTAACATTACCTCCGGTTTAAATTCTATTTTTTCCTTTAAAATGATCTCGGTTATTTTTTGGACTTCACGCCAGAAGGACTTTACCTTTTTACATTTCCACCACATGTGGATATAGTTACCTTTTTGTTTTTCGCATCTCCAACAGACATCTCTAATTCTACCTCTGCTAAACTTAGATATTTTCTCGGGCGTGAGGTACCATCTATAAAAAGACTTAAACCAATTCTCTTTCATCTCCGCTGCGTAAGTGTATTTTATTTTATTGCACCACACTTCCTCCCATTCTGTCATATGTATTGATCTTCCTACATCTCTTGACCATTGTATCATGACTCCTTTCACCTGTTCCGTCTCCGTGGACCATAATAGTAATTGTTGGTATACTTTTTTAATTGCTTTCTTTTCTGATTTCATTATCTTGTCCCAGAATGTTTCTTGGGTTTGAAATCCTTTCTTCGCATCTATCTTGAAGTTTTCAGATATTTGGTGGTATTGAAACCAAGAAATGGATTGGTCTAGTTGTTTGAGTTCTTCTTGGGATTTCAGTTTGGTCTCGTGTGCATTTATCTTTAATAACTGGGCATACGTTAGCCAGCGGTCTCTAGGCAATTCTCTCAAGTGAAGTGCTTCGTTGGGTGCAAACCAAAGGGGGGTCTTGCTGTACAGCCTGTCTTTGTATCTATTCCATATTTGCAGGATGGCGGCTCTGGTTGGGTGATTCCTAAACTGTTTTTCTTTCTCCGCCTTCCCCCTCCACAAGTATCCGTGCCAGCCTTGTGACAGATCAAATCCCTCTAAGCTCAGTATTTTCTTTTTACTCAGCGTCATCCAATCTCTCGCCCATCGCAGGACTGCTGCTTCGTAGTAGAGTTGCATGTCGGGAAGGGCTAGGCCCCCTCTTTTTTTGTCATCGGTCAGATTCTTATAATTTATTCTCTGTTTTTTACCCCTCCAAATAAATTTAGAGATCTCTTTTTGCCACTTACCAATTAATGTTTTAGATTTTAGGACGGGTAGCGTCTGGAATAAGAATAAGACGTCCGAAAGGATGTTCATTTTAACAGAGGCGATCCTGCCTAACAAGGAGAGATTTAAGCAGTTCCATGAATTCATTTTCCTCTTTATTTCTTTCCATTTCTTTTCGTAGTTGTTCTTGATCAAGTGTGCGTTATTCTCTGCTATGGTTATCCCTAAATATTTAACTTCCTTTACTATTTTGATTCCAGATGTTTCCTGTAGTTTTAGTTTGTCTTCATTCTTTATATTTTTGGTGATTATTTTTGTTTTGTTTTTGTTTATTCTAAATCCCGAGACTTCTCCAAAGTTGCCAATTTCTGATAGCCACATGTCTATGTTCTCTAGTGGGTCTTCCACAAAGCAAACCAGGTTGTCTGCGAAAGCTCTAGTTTTGTAGATATGATTCTTGACCTTAAGCCCTTTCAGTTCCTTGTTTGTAGATATTTTCTGCAGAAGAACTTCCAATGTTAGAATGAAGAGTATTGGGGAAAGGGGACACCCCTGCCTGGTCCCTTTCTGGATTACTATGTGTTCTGATTGCTGGCCATTAATTGTTATTGTTGCCAGTTGATGGGTATAGATAGCGCTGATTGCATTTAGGTATTGATGACCTATATCCATTTCTCTTAGTAGATCCATTGTGAAGTTCCAGTTGACATTGTCGAATGCCTTTTCGGCATCCAGAAATATCAAGGCTGCTTTTTTCTGATTGTTCTTTTCGTAATAGTCGATCACGTTGATTACCGTTCTGATGTTGTCGCTCAGCTGCCGTCCTGGAAGAAATCCCACCTGATCTTCTTGTATTCTTGAAGATGCCAGTTCTGTTAGTCTTGAGGCTAATATTGATGTAAATATCTTGTAGTCAGTTTGTAGTAGTGATATTGGGCGGTAATTGTTGACTGATGTGCTGTCTGTGTTATTTTTATGAATCAATGAGATTGTTGCAGATTTCCAAGTGTCTGGAAGCTCTCCTTCTTCCATGGCTCTATTCATGACTTTAAGAAGTTGTGGAGTTAATATATCTTGGAAAGTTTTGTAGTACCTAGTTGTGAGGCCGTCTGGGCCTGGCGCTTTATTAGTTGGGAGATTTCGGATGGTCTTCAGAACTTCTTCTTTAGAGATTGGTCTGTTTAGGTTCTCTCTCTGGTCATCTGTTAATCTTTGTATGCCTTGTTTT